CCAAAAGCCTCAGAATCAGGTCTTTTATATTCACTGTTTGTGAAATGGTCATTAAAAATGGCAACAGACTCTGGATCCTGCACTAGATCCTAGAAACCCTCTGACACTGTGAGTGGATGAAGTCAGCCATGTTCCTCTTCACCTTTTACTTGACATTCCCTCCCTATCTAACACTCCACACCCAAAGACCTTTTATCCTCCAAATTGCTCTTAAAAGTCCTCTTTATACCCAGTGCCCGCAAAATTCCGGTAGCTGCCTTGGTGTCTTTCTCAGGTACTTAGACACTAGCGTGGCAGGCCTAGTAAAGCAACCTAGAGAGGGCTGAAGTAACTAGTCGTTCCTCTGTCTGGGTTTCCCAGTAAGTCCTGTCTCTGTGCCCATCTTGATCAGCACTCCTGGCTAGGTGCTGCCTGTGTTTCATCTCATTGAGTTCCAAGCTCTACATCAGCATTAACAGTGTCTGGTTCAGCTGGTAAGATACTTTGGAAGGTTGGCACCATGTTTCCTGTATGTTTGTTCAGTCCTGAAAATGCCGAATGTACTTAAGAAATAACAGGTGATAGCACCAACGTGTGCCATGTAATTATAAAGACATCCCAAATGGCCGTCAGCCCTGCTGAGAGGCTGTCTCAGGAAGAGTGGTGCCTGTTAGCTGCTCATGGCTATTTTGAGGTCCTCCTGGGACACAGGTATGAACTTTAATCCAAGAAAGGCCTTGTCAGCCACATGTGGCGGCTTCTCTTTCTTGGATTGCATCAGGTGTTGGGAGACACCTGGGAGCACATCTCCACAAGCAACATGATCATTGTCTGGAGCTTGGCTCCAGCTATCTCTGCCTTCCCATCATCTATAAGCAGAAGAGAAAGTCAAAAGCTCTATCATTTTCCTGTATTCTCCCCTGGTCTATCATTGCTTAATTGTATCCCTAAATTTTATTAAAGTTTGCGGTGAGTCATTGCCATGGTGAGGTGGAAACAGAGCTGAGCAAATTTAAGAGAGGAGGAGTGTCTTCCCATGTGAGCATGCTGAGCAGGAAAACTCCCACAGCAGAGAGAAACTCATATCACTTCATAGATTGTTGCATCATCTGCTTGCTGCTGCCTCTAATTTAATGCTCTAAATCCCATATCAAAACACCTGTAGTCCAAAGAGAACATAAAATAGAGTGGGAAATTCATGCCAGTTAGACTTGCAGATCTCTCTTAATCATCTGAGACCTTCTTCCAAGCTCACACAGGACTTATAATTGTGGTTCTGTATTGACCTGTTGCATTGACTATCCACAGAACCTACCTACCTCTCCACCACCAGAATAAAGTTGTAGGCTTAATCCAAGGTGGCTGCACTTCAGTGTCCCTAAATGTATTTCATTTGTGGCTACAGTAGTTCAAGCTTGTAAAACATGGTATGATCTCTTGTGGAAAAAAGCACTGTAGAACTGTAAAGCCATTGTCACTGGACAGATAATGTCTTTGTGATGAACAGGAAGACCTCCTCTGCTTTACTGTGTAGGCACCGTTATAAACCCTTGCACTTGCTGTTCTGGTTTCTGATGCAAATCCAAATAAATTCTTCTTTCAGAGGCTATGTTTTCCATCGCATCCCAAGCTCCGGCTCCTTGTAACTTCTGGTGGTTTAATGTGCCTCTCTGGCATTCTGGCATGGCTGGGGATATGTTGCTGTAGGCAGGGCAGGCACCTTTCAGGGGGGTGGAGGGAGCTCTGGATAGGTGTGTGTGTATTCCATCATGGGATTAGGAGCACAGAATCCCAACAGAGTAGTTGAGACTGGAAGGGACCTGTGGAGATAATCTAGTCCAACCCCCCTGCTCAAAGGATCTGCTGCCTCAGACAGTTTGTAAGTAAGGCAGGGCTACAGCTCTTAATCTCCCTTTTCCCATCACTGAATCAGTCCCTTTGGTATCCTGTGGCAGGACAGGAGGTTGTGCCGTTGTGCTTCTTGCACAGGTGAGATTCTGTTATTGGTGTGCTCTTGCCCCATGTGCACCTGCTAGTTTAGAAGATATGAGTCCTGCTTGGTGATCACTTCAGCACAGAGGTTTCTACCATGAACCCAACATCAGGGTAGTCTGTCTGCACTAGCTTCAGGGTAAATTTTTTTTCATCAGTTACCATCCTAACTAGAGTGTTTGCTGGGAGCAGTACAGTTGCAGTGTCCCTTACTACTTTGTTTTTCTTTGCAGACTTTAGGTAATATACTTGTAGCCTGTTTCACAGAGTTTAATTATTAAAATGAAAATCTATCATCATGTCAGTGCAAGTTGAAGCTCCATCCTGAAAGAAAGGTGGGTGCAAAACTTAGCCCTTTGTTACTGAAATAAAAGAAGCTGCAAGTTGATGGGCTGAACAGGAGCATGGCATCTACCAGGAAGCCATTTGCCCATGGATCAGGAGGTGAATGGGCATCACTTTGACCATCCAGTAATGTACCTGCTCGGATTAAGTCTTGTATTGAATGTGTCTATAAAAGTAAGGAGAGCTTGGATTCCTCTGACTTGGCTTCTCCAGCTGGAGTGTTTGGAGCTCAGCTGCAGGGAATTAGTAGGATATTTCATTTCTGTATAGCACAACTGAGTGATGACAGGAGAGCATAAGAAAACACTGTATTCGGTATTTCCTCCCTTCTTCCATGTTCTTCTTGAGAATGTTGATGGGTTTATCGTCTGTAAAATTGGGTTTATAGTACCCACAAGTTGTTCTGACTTGCTGAGCTTCACCTGATGTGGGCAGTCTGGGACCAACCAATAATGGAGCACAAATTGAAGGTGTTCAGAGCTGGTTAAGCTAAGTAAGGTTTCTGGGTTGGGTTGCAAGAGAACCACTTTTTTGTGAAAGGGTGGGACACCAAGGGGAGTGTGTAAGTCATCTAAACCACAAAGGGTTTTGCTAGGCAAATGTAAAATTTATTTTTGTTCATCAGATATTGCCTGGATAGTGATATCTCAGTTATTAATGGAGTAAATGAGGGAAGGACAGCCAAGAAATGCCAGGGCACTTTGAAAATGGAGGTAAATCTGCCATCCAAGAGGAAGCTAAGAAGTTCCTGTTGGAGTTACAGTAGACAGCAATGCTCTAAAGGAAAAGAAAGGCCAGGGGAAAACTGTGTCAGGCTGGATATAATTAGGCACTTAATACTTCAGAAAATTACAGAATCACAGAATAATCAAGGTTGGAAGTGACCTCTGGAGATCATCTAGTCCAAGCTCCCTGCTAAAAGCGGGGTCAACTAGAGCAGGTTGCTCAGGACCGTGTCCTGTTGGGTTTTGAATATCTCCAGGGATGGGGAATCCACAACCTCTTGGGACAACCTGTTCCAGTGTTTGACCACCCTCACAGTAAAAAGGTTTTTTTCTTAGGTTTAAATGGAATTTCCTGTGCTTCAGTTTGTGCCCTTTGCCTCTTTTCACTGGGCCAGTGCGAAGAGCCTATCTCAGTCTTCCTGTCAGGTATTGATACACATTGATAAGATGCACATCCTTCCCCACCCTGAGCCTTCTCTGCTCGGGGCTAAACAGTCTGATAGAGTAAGGAAGGTGGGGTTGTTGTAGGAGGTTGAACTAATGTTAGTATTGGTAGTCTAAAAGCCAACTTGAATGCTGCCCTGAGTAAATGGTGATGTACAAGTAATACTGAATAGGACAAATGAGCTTTCTTGCTTTTTCCTTCCTTCTCTGTATCTTTTTTTCCTTTAGTACCTTTAATTTATGTCTGTTTTCTTGGCATTGTCCCAGATGTCTTCTGGGAATAGTTATCTCTGGGTCTTTTATCTCTTTGTGTTTGTCATTTAGTGTGATACTGGCAGCCCCAAAAGCTAAGATATTTATGGTGAGTGAGTTCAGGTTGGTGCTTAGTCGATTCCTGTGACCTGCAGTGATGAGCAGAATCACTTTGGATAAAGCCTTGGATCAAATTTTGAACTGGAGGTGAACTTTTATAGATGTTCAGTATAGTTGGAGAATGGTGTTTCTCGTTTTTAAAAAAAGAAACTTGCATATCCTCAGTTTTGCGGAAGGCAGTAGACTAAATAAGGAAGTCCCAGATATTAAGAGAGCAACTGTCTTTGTTCCAGACCCAAGAAGTCAGAGTGCAGGTTGTTTAGACCATAGACAAACGTTCAGGCCTATGGATCTGTATCTGACGCAACTGGACGATCTACAGCTTGGCAAATGTGTGTCCCCCAAGATGAGTTATAAAAGCTCCTTTGTGGGTTTACCCTGTTGACTAGTTGGTTACAAAAGCATGCCTGTTCATACATACCTGACATTACATGTATTTATATATTTGATTACCCAAGTGCTAAATCTAGCTGAATATGTAAATACAACAAAACCTGTTAACTTTGCTTATGCCAATTAATATATTAGAGGTTCAGGGAAAAGAGAAGGTTGGTTTTGGTTCTGCTTTAAAGCTAAGCATTTGGTCACTTACCCACCTTTACTAAGCTATTTTAAATTTATTTTCTACATTTGTTTTGGAAATGAGAACCCCCCAGAACTAGTTAAATGTGAAAACTTCCATCATTGCTCCTATCAATGTGTCATATCTCCTTCCAACAGAGGTTTGTTAAAACTTGTCTTGGATTCAATTTGTCTGTCTTGTCAAACGATTTGAAGCACCTAAGTTGCAGAATCAGTTTCCCTGTATTTCTGTAAAATAACAGAAGTAAGGGATCTGGATTCTGCAGAAAACAAACGAAAAGAAAACCCTGATCTTATTTAAGTAGAAAGGAAAGACCAGTTTCTCATGCATGAGGATTTCATTCCCAAACTCTTTGCGTTATATCTACCTACCTCTGCTTTTATTGTAGTAGCCCAAAATTATTGAGAGTACATGTACAGGAAAAAAGCCATTATGCAAACTTTAGAAGTTATGTGTCTAAACTGCTGGAATTTGAAGCTTTGCTGATGCTTCACAAAAGGTTTGAGTTATATGCTTTTCAAAGGCTGAAGGTACTGAGTTTCTTCTCTCTTTCCTTACAGGTGTGTTACTAGACATCCAGCAGCACTTTGGAGTCAAAGACAGTGGGGCTGGCTTATTACAGACAGGTAAGAGTATTTGTTTTCTCACTGGTTTTTGTAACCTTCCTCTTCTCAGAGGGGTGCTTTCAGATTTCTTCAGTTATGGCCCTGGGGCACATTGGCTGTGAAATATACTCTTACTAGGAAGGTGAGTGAACATGAGGGGTTTTTTGGTTTTGATTTGCTTGTGGGCAGGAGATCAGGGCTCAGAATTATTTGAGTGCAGAATGGGCCAAAAGCAAGCAAACCTAATGATATTATTTATGACAACTAAATTCAAATAGGAGACGGCTACTTCCCCTAGATCAGAAAACTCATGATAAACCAACAACAGGATCCTGTTGTTCTCACTTCTCTTAACTCTCTGTAGGTTGGTAATAAGTGTGATGTACGATGCCCTTCATGTGCTGTACAGAGAATCTGCTGAATGTACAGTAATTGGGAATACAGCGTGGCATGAAAATGTAAAACTCATCAGGACAAGTATCTGAGGATGAAAACTGCAGGAAAGGCTAACAATCATTGCATTCATGCTAGCTCATGGATTAACAATATCCCTATGATTTTGGTGCTGTTAGCTTCAGACATTTCTCTCCTTGTATTTAAGGAAGAAGAATTATTGCAATCGTGATGTCCTTTTAATGTAGGAGACATTTTAATGTTGCAGACATCTGCAGAGCTGTACAACCCCAGGACAAACCCAGGTTTTCTGGCCTCTAGTCCTGAAGTGGTTTAGAGGAGTGTCTTTGTCAGTGGGCTGCATTTGATGACATTGAGTAGCAGTCTCATTGTAGTTATGACAGCACATTCGATCTTTATGGAGAGTTGAAAGGACTAGCCAGAGAGCAAATGCAGTATTTTAAGGAGAGAAACAATCTGGTTTGGAAACTTCCTACAGAATTATTAGTTGGAGTCATAGATTTGTGGTGCTGTGGTTGTCTTGTCACCGTCATCTGTCTGAGGGAACCACACTGGAACAATTATATCTCTGAAAAAAATTAGAATTCAATTAGGATTAGAAATAGTGTGCAGAAAGACATTTTTTTTCCATGCCTTTTTTCTTATGCTGTCACAGTGGATACCAAATGCCCGTCAGGACCTTGTCCGTGAAACTGTAGCCAACAATAAAGTGTATAAAATCATTCATTCTTTATGATCACACTAGAGAATGTTCTGGAGCTCCATCAGTTGGCCTTTGATTTCAAACTATGTGAACCACTGCAGTATCTCCTCCTGGTTATTTTCTGCAACCCATGGCACCGCGGGGTCCTCATCTGTGGTTACAGCTTCTTGGTAATGTTGCAATACAAACAATTAATAACAGTTTGCATTAGGGCTTTAAAAATGCTCTCCTTGTGGGACAGCGGAGTTCAGCTAAGCTGATGTGGGCAGCACATGTCTAGAACAGAAGGCCTGAGCTTTACAAGTGTTACTGATTATGAGTAGCATCAATCGGTTATGCCCGAAGTGGCACTCGTTGTCTGTCAGGCTCTTTTCTACATCAGTTATTTTTGTTTATTTATTGTACTCAGAGGAACAGGTCCTCAATGTATCATTAGACACAAAGTGCCTTCAAGAAAATATTCTTGTGGAAAACAACACTTGCCAAAGCATATATTTAATCTTCATTCCACTCAGTCGGTGAAATCCTTTTGCTGACAGCAAGTAAGAGCTAAGCTCCAACAAGGCATTTCATTTGTTAATTGCAAGAAATGTTATTTATTTCTCTAGCAAACATACAGAGCATCTGAAAACAGTGTCACTGAGGTACTGCAAGATTGCTGCTGAGTGTGTCAAGAGTTTTGTAACTGGTAACTGTTGCTTTAAGAAAAGCAACATTTTCTCTCGGTTTTTTTGCTGATCTGAAAACCGAGGGCTTGACTTTGCCCCTGCAATATAGATAATAGTGTATTAATCACAGTGCCATCACAGGAAAAGAGTGCTCACAAAATAAAATGCCATTTCACGTAAGTAAGGGTAGGGGCACATAACTGAAAACTTATTAAATATATTACTTCAGCTTAACAAGTTTCTGTGTTGGCAGCTAGCCCATGTCCCATGTACCCTTAACCCTGGTGAAATAAACCACGCTGGCCTGAACCATCATAAGCACTACTTTTAATCTTTTGTCCGTTCTCTAAGTCTGACCTCTCTGTGTGTAAATTGGGGAAAATGAATGCAGAGTGTAAAAGCGTTTTACTAAGGTTGCAGAGGAAGTCTATAGTAGAGCTGGGACCAGGACTGATGTCTCCCAGACCTCTGCCTTAACCTTGAACAGTTCCTTTGCAAACAGAGAGACAGAAATATCATCTTATTCCCAAGAGATGGTTCTGCTAACTAATTGAGTGATGTGAGACGAAAGACTGCTCATCCTGAATATGTCCTCTGAATAAAGAGTGGATTAGTCTTCAGGTTGTTAATCCTGCATCTAAATGAGTCCTAAATTAATTTACAATGTTAATGAGGGGGAGTGAAATGTAGTATTCACTGGCAGTTCATATCACTCATCAAACAGGCTTTAAAAAATAAAAAATAAAATCCTTTTAACTGAGAAACAAGGCTGCACACAGTTGTAGGAGGAGATGGTACTGAAAACTGAAACAGCAAGGGGAAAAGAAATCCACCAAAGGCAATGTATGACCCTGCATTCATACCATAACCCATCTCTTTGCAGGCACAGCCAATCTCATAGCGCTCTCACTCCAAACATTCAAAAGCCAATTCACACGCTCTCAGCTTCTGCTACTCTCTGGAAAGCAAAGACAGAATTTGAATTTTTGTCTTCTTTTATATTAATCCCAAGATACAAGCTGCTCTTTGCCTAAGAGATATAATGAAAACTGGTTAGAGGGGCACTATAACTCCTGTACAGAAGAATCACAGGGACACTTCAGCCTTATCCATAAGGGAAAGGAGCAGAATGTGGTGTCTCTGTAGCAATGATCCTGTGACAGCAAAGGACACACTGACAGATGGATCGCAATTGCTGCTTGCTCAGTAGCATTGTAGAGTAAGGCATATAACTATGTTGATTCCAGAGCTTCAGTTATCTCTTGATGATGCTATAATTCTGTGCTGATCTTCCTTTTTAAAGCACTACATATGCAGTTATATAAATATTACTTAAGTTCACTAACTGTCCTACAAGTCTGCATCCAGGCTTTCTTGCGCTTTTCATTTCTTATGGGTTGCTTTTCCCAGCTGGAGAGAGGATAATCCTGGCTGATCTCAAAAGGTGATAGAGCATCTCCTTGCCTACTTGAGCTGTACAGTTGTAGTCAGTCAATACATTTATAAGCCAAATCATACAAAAAGTCTTTCCCATGTGTGGAGTTAGGTAGGAGCAGCAATTTGGACTCACCAAAACTACAGGCCTCTAAAAACACAAAGACTGAGTGGATGGACCACTGGATTTGTAGAGCTGCTTCAAAATAGTGTTATCCTTCCATATATACTTAGACCACAGGAGTAGTGCCCCAGTGCTGTACTCTGGTTTTCACTAGATTTTTTTTCCCCCTTCTTTCTTCAATTTTTGTGCTTTATTGCTCTGTCTGCTTTCTTTACCCTAGGATTTATTTTGCTTTTGTGTTTCTTGCCAGTGTCTGTTTAGCACACCAGAGCTCTAATAATAATAGTGCCTGGCTCTCAATACAGTTTGTCTTCTGTAGATCTTGGGATATTTTATATAGGGAGGGATAATGAGGCTTGCCGTTTTCTACAGATGGGGAAACCAAGAAAGCCAGATGGGAGAAATGACCTGCCCAAAGTCACACAGCGGGTCTGAGGCAGAGCCAGAATGAGAACTGCGGTCCAGTTCCTGAACGCGCAGCATTCAACCAGGTTAATGCTTAGACCCAGAGATTTGGTCCTTGTTAATGGGCACCTTAACCTTCTAGCCTTGGTAGCTCAAGCTCAGGGGAAGGCACATAAAACAGTGGGGACTTCTGCAAGGGGAAACTGTGAGGCATCAAATGGAGGGTATGGCAAGGATTCTGTTGAAATGCAGAGGAGAAAATGCCTGTCTTCAGAAAGAGCATAGGGATGTCATTAGAGGAAACCCTGGTAACCAAAAGTTTATACCATAAGGTTAGAAGCAAGGAAATGTACGGAAGTGAGAGATCTGGAAGGACTCATTAAAGATGAATAATCCTAGATAACTGGGGCTCTGAAAGAACTTGTCTCTTCTCACATGGAGAGAGATGGGCATTCTCCCAAATGCCTTTCAGCCCCCGGTTTCCAAGGAAGCCTAGCAATGCCAGGTACTTTCTTAAGTCTTTTTGTGGGCTCATTTTTCCTGTAAGGGTCAATTCCAATTAAAACCTCTGTTCATCTGAAAAAATGAAACCTTTACCTACTTGAGTTTCCCTACCTCTTGAGCTGGCCTAGTGTAACCTTGCACTAGATTGCAGCCTTGCACATATGTTAGCAGCTCTGGTGTGCTGTGATTGTACCAACCAAGCTGTAAGCATGTGCAGCGACTAGGGGACTTGAAAGACTGCAATGATGGAATAAATCAGTCTTGCTAAATTGAAGGTTTTTCTTTCAACTCCCTTTGACTCCCATCTTCTTGTCATTGCCTTATGATGACAGCTTATACTGCTCTAACACTTTTTATTTATTCCACACAAAGACCTCCTCCTCTGGATGCTAAACCTGACTATGTGTATATTACATGAGTTGCAGGTGCCGCATATTTCTTTTCTACCATCTGCTTCTACCTGAATAGATACTGTCTTGCTCCTCATCTGTCCTATGCATAATTGAATCAGATCTTCATCTTTCACTTCCAACTGCACCTGCTTAACTGTCCTTCTTGCTAGAACAGAGGAACTCATATTCTGGACACTTTTCTGTTTTCTATTTAAAATTCATGGGCTTTCCTTTTCAGTGAATGACTTCGTACACCAGAGCATCCCCCAAGCCCTGGTATCTCAGGTGTCCAATCCAGAAGGTGAGACAGAATGCTTTGTAGTTACTTTTCTTGATTTATGACTGCAAATGGTTTGGTTCACCATGTCCTACCCAGA